CCCCAAAACCCCAAAACCCCAAAACCCCAAAACCCCAAAACCCCTATGAGCATTATGATTATCATTGAAAGAAATCTAATTATTTACGTAACATTATTATCATTATTTGATGTTTAGAGAAGTTTAAAATACTTCTAATGTAATAGCTGTTTTGAAAATTTTCATAATCTTGATCTCCATCTGGCTTTTTTCATAATTCCATTAAAGTTAATTTCTTAGTCATTATAGATATTTTTACTGACTGATTCATTAAGATATATGACATCTTCTTTCCTTCTCTCTAATCTTTTCATAAAATCGTCATCTTAAACAACCATTTCAAAAAGTGGAAATCTTGATTTCAATTATTAGTAAGATGGGTGGATACCTCCTCTTGCTGCATAATTATTAGCGAAATAATTATTTTACAACAGTTTCTTAATTCTATCCTACTCCTTTTTCAATTCTAACTACTTCTTTTAGCCAGGTAAAACTTTTTTAGACTTAGATCTTTAAGTTATTTCCCCATATTCTTTAAAACTTAAATGGGCCTTTGATTTCTTCATTTTTGGTAAATCTGTCGAGTCATTAGATTTTTCTCTCCTTTATGTTAGATTATTTTGAATACTGATCTAAAGTACTGATTCATTATTATATCTGTTAGTAGTAGGGTCATTTGATTAAAATAATGATCTGTAATTCTCAGTTTAAAATTCGGATACGATATTCGGGTCTAATCTAAACAAAGAAGATTCTTTAGTTAAGGCATTTGTTAATGTGACATCATTGATCTATTATTACTTATGTTACTTTATTTCAGACTTAGATCTCTCTTCCTGTAATTTACCACTTATTTACTCTAATTTTAAATCCTATTAAGCTTTTTGCTCAACTCAATGCTTTAGCTACTCATAAAAGCTCATTTTATCTTTTATTGATATTTTATTAACTTTGAATATGTCTTTAATCTTTGTAGATTGATTTCGTGGTACTATTATCGGAACAAAATTAGTACTATTAGAATTTTCTAGAGTTTAATATGATTTCATTTTCATAATTGGGGCGATCAAACCTTCCCTGCTCTCTATTGAGTCATATAAATAATCTGAATTTATTATTTAAGCTTTTTTGCTACTTTAGGTCTCCTTAAATAATGTACTTTTATTAGTGAGTCTCTACAATATTGCTTTCAGTTACTTATTCTTTTGATTATAATAAAGTGAAGCTTTTTATATATTTTAATTCTCAAATGAGCCATGTAAATACGATTTCTAGGAATCGTTATGCCTCATAAATTAAGAATTTATCTCCTCTGAGGTTTTTCTTTAATGATTCTTATTGCCAATTAATACGTTGATATCATGAGGTTACAGCATGCCACTGCGTTTATTATAAGTATTAACAGAATCTAAATCATTGTATTCCTGAATTATCATGTTTAAAATATTTATCTCTTAAGCAATATAATTTTATAAATTTAATTTAATTTATTTATAAATAGCCTCTTATGATTAAAACAATCATGGGGTTTTGGGGTTTTGGGGTTTTGGGG